TGATGCACGATCCTCGCAGTAGAGAGCGCTATTTATGCAATAGCGAAAATCAGACCTGAAAAAAATCAGGCCTGTATGGGATTGGAACCACTGACCTCTACGATACTAATGCAGCGCTCTACCAATTGAGCTAACAAGCCAACTGGGAGCAGGCCGTTAAGTTGATTCGTAATAAACCCGTGATGATAAATCAGATACAATGAATATATGAAGTTCATATATTTTGAACTGCGGTTGTAGATAGGTATGATGCACGATCCTCGCAGTAGAGAGCGCTATTTATGCAATAGCGAAAATCAGACCTGAAAAAAATCAGGCCTGTACGGGATTCGAACCACTGACCTCTGCGATACTAGTGCAGCGCTCTACCAATTGAGCTAACAAGCCAACTGGGAGCAGGCCGTTAAGTTGATTCGTAATAAACCCGTGATGATAAATCAGATACAATGAATATATGAAGTTCATATATTTTGAACTGCGGTTGTAGATACGTATGATGCACGATCCTCGCAGTAGAGAGCGCTATTTATGCAATAGCGAAAATCAGACCTGAAAAAAATCAGGCCTGTACGGGATTCGAACCACTGACCTCTGCGATACTAGTGCAGCGCTCTACCAATTGAGCTAACAAGCCAACTGGGAGCAGGCCGTTAAGTTGATTCGTAATAAACCCGTGATGATAAATCAGATACAATGAATATATGAAGTTCATATATTTTGAACTGCGGTTGTAGATACGTATGATGCACGATCCTCGCAGTAGAGAGCGCTATTTATGCAATAGCGAAAATCAGACCTGAAAAAAATCAGGCCTGTACGGGATTCGAACCACTGACCTCTGCGATACTAGTGCAGCGCTCTACCAATTGAGCTAACAAGCCAACTGGGAGCAGGCCGTTAAGTTGATTCGTAATAAACCCGTGATGATAAATCAGATACAATGAATATATGAAGTTCATATATTTTGAACTGCGGTTGTAGATACGTATGATGCACGATCCTCGCAGTAGAGAGCGCTATTTATGCAATAGCGAAAATCAGACCTGAAAAAAATCAGGCCTGTACGGGATTCGAACCACTGACCTCTGCGATACTAGTGCAGCGCTCTACCAATTGAGCTAACAAGCCAACTGGGAGCAGGCCGTTAAGTTGATTCGTAATAAACCCGTGATGATAAATCAGATACAATGAATATATGAAGTTCATATATTTTGAACTGCGGTTGTAGATACGTATGATGCACGATCCTCGCAGTAGAGAGCGCTATTTATGCAATAGCGAAAATCAGTTTTTTTTAAATTATGCAACCATTCTAGTGGCCCAAGTGTCCATATTTTGTCTGCAGGAGTGTCTAAAAGTAATTTAAATGACTCCTGGTTCATATATTACTCCTTCTGCTTCTTGAAGGGCTTCCTACTGACGAGTCCTCAGAAGTTGCTCCCCTTGATGCTCTCTCTTTTCCTTCTACGTAGCCTGTAAATCAGACTCCATCAATCGTTTACTGTCTTTTGCATGTGCTGCCTCTCTGGTGCTTACACCACCAAAGATAGATATAACCTCTCCATAATTTTTAGCCTAGTACTGTCTTCCATGCTACAGCATGGAAGACAACTCAGTCGTTAATGTCATATTATTCCCCTCACTGGGGGTCACACTACTGGATGTTGGAAGTGGACTCGATTCCTCAGAGGAATTGCACTGAAGGGAAAACTGTGACATCAGCCCTGCTCTAGCACTTTTAACCTACTTAAGAGTTAAGTTGCCTAGAAAGACAAATCAAGTAAAAATTTTAAGATGAATCAGGCAATTTTATCATAAATAGAGTAAAGACCTCAAGTCAGAAATATACATTCTGTGATTTTTCACCCCATAATTTTTTTGTTTACAGTGTATATGCACAAAACCTAAAAATCTTTCTTGTGCCTGATCCAAGATTTAAAAGATAAATCAGCGAAATTCAGCAGGGAAAAATGGAACCAAGGGCCGATACGGTATGGGAAATAAGTCATAATCGAGGACAGAGAACGACCGTAAACTTCAAAAAATTCCTCACCCATCTCACACACGTGCCCGTTTGAGACCGCCGTGGATAAATTCTTCACGTCTGTTAATCTATATCCCTCGCTTTCCTTGGTATCAGAACTGTCTGCAAGAGGCTCATTGGCATATTTCATTTTCTCTCTGGAGGAACCAACAGTTTCTTTAGAGTTCGAGTCGCAAAATTTTTCCAATTATTGGAAAGCTGATATTCATCCAGGGAAGTGCTCGGAGTTGAGTGGGCGATTTCGTTCTTCAAAGTAATCTTCCTGTTTTCGTCTTCCAGAAAAATGTCTTTCTTTTCTTCCAGTAGACAGTTCTTCTTCTCTCTCCAGCCATTTTCGAGAACTTTTCCTTTGATTTACTGCTCTATGTACGTTAAACATCACATTCGACTGAAACCCGGACTACAACTGCCTCTAATTCTATCCCATAATCGTTTTGCCCCAGAAAAACTGTTCAAATAAGACTAAATAAAGTGGGTCTTGTTAGCTCCTGCCCGCTTGGCTTGGTTGCCAGGACACCAAGTCACAAAAAACTGATAAATTTTGAAAAATACTATTCTCGTTACCATGGTAACAAAGCCATAGCCAGAGCGGGAATTTTAAAATCGCTTAAAAAGGTAAAAATAATGAAAATAGATGGAGAATTATTTTTCCATTGTAAAATTAAATACCCAAAGCTACAAATTTTAAGGAAAACAAAAACTGAGTTTTGGAGCAAATTTCAGGTTTACCCCCGCCTTAAAAGGTAGGCTCTCTGGGTGGTAGCTCAGAGATCGGAAGTGACCGCCAAACGACTACAAAACAGGTCTTAAAATAGAGGCACTCGGTATATGAATCGATTTGCCATTCTGACATGATAGCTTCCGTGATACAATATTACGTATTTTCGTTTTCCAACGGCCTTACTTTCACTACATTAAAAGCGCACTTCGTGTAACATATTATTAGTATAATTTGCTGATTTCGTCATGCAATACCTTATGACAAAATTAATAGCATTAAATTCAGATCTACGCACGCTGGGTAAGTGAAAAGTCACCACGAGATTATATTTGAATGACCTGGCTGCACGCAAAATATAGAACAGCACTCATCCGTAAATATGCTTTTTATTGAGGTTGCTTTAAGACTTTAAAAATTAAATTTGATCTGCTGAAATCCTTAGCCTTCCTCAAGGAGCGTTTTCGTAGTTTTTTTTT